CCTAAAACCCTAAAACCGTAAAGCCTCAGCTACCCATGAAAGCAGCGAAGTGGCGCTCTGCTGCCTCGCAGCCTTGAGCTTCGCGGGTCCTGCTTCTGTGGAAGCTTCTGGGTTTTATGGGTTTAGGATTTAGGGTTTAGGGTTTAGGGTTTAGGGTTTAGGGTTTAGGGTTTAGGGTTTAGGGCTTGGGCATCGTCTTTGGGCGTGAAGCTTCTGGGTTTTAAAGGGCTAGGATTTAGGGCCCTTCAGGAACTCCGGGTTCCATAAGGCTAGGAAGTTTGCGGCAGGGAAGTTTAGGGCCTGGGATTCGGGATTTCAGAAGTTTGAGGAATCTAGCGATTCCGGGTTCTGTAAGGGTATTTTCTATCAGCTGTTTGGGCTTCGTCCTTTTGAGTTCTCGAGTGTGCGAGGGTGAGCTGCAGATGGCAACAAAACATCTCCTGGTGGACTTCAAATTTCATTACAATCCGAAATAGGGTTTTGGAGTAAATGTAGACTGTGAGAGGATACCAAAAACCTACATTGCCACGAATAGCAGTAACTTCCGAGGCTAGTAGAATGAACCCGCTGGGCACCTGCAGCCGCGCAGGTGCCGGCTGCGACACCTCCGCTGAAAGCCTGGTCGAGTCTCATACTTGGAGGATCATGGGACTTAGTAAGTAAGGGTTATAAGGGGCCCTTTAAGGGATCTATTGGGGGTTCTATTAAGGTTTAGGGTTTTGGGCACTTGGAGTCTATGGCCAGTGAATTCCTAGGGGTCTCTCTACACCCGGGCTCCTGGGTCCTTCTCAGAAGAGTGACGTGCTGGATTTGGAACCGAAGAGTAGCTCCAGACTCCTGGCTAATGTAGGAACCTGATTTTAGGTGCCCCAGTAGCCCCTTAATAATAAGGGTGCCCTTTTTCTCACTGTTCGGTTTCCATAAGGGAACCCGAAAAGAAAAAGGGCAAAAGGGTACTACTGGTGAACCTAGGATTAAGAAACCCTGGCCCTATAACCCCAAATATATTAGAGTTCATATTAAGAACCTAAACCCTAAACCCTAAACCCTAAACCCTAAACCCTAAACCCTAAACCCTAAACCCTAAACCCAAAACCCAAATATATTAGAGTTCATATTAAGCACCCTACTAAAGACCCAAGGTTTCTTAATCAGGATCCTACATTACTACTTACCAGTACCACGAATGTTCGACTGAACAAGCACACAGAGCCTCTGAGCCGGAAAACTGTAAACACTGCAACCGTCTCTTGAAGTGTCCGGGGTGTCAGGGTTTAGGGGTTTCAGGGTTCAGAGCTTAGGGGTTCAGGGGTTTAGGGTTTAGGATCTAGTCACTAACTTCATCTTTGCACCTGCCTGGAACTTAGTCCTTGATCTATTCATCGAGCCCTTATGCAAAGAAGCAACCTCGAAAGCCTCCACCAACTCCTCAAACCCCCTTTCGAAACCTTCTAAACCTCCAGCAAGTTGGAACACGGATTTAGGATGATTTGGGCTTGGGATTCCCTATACCTGCCTTACCTTTTGGGCAATAGGATAACGGCATTCCAACTTGCTGGCTTCTACTGTAAACAACCTTCTAAACCTCCCCACTGAAACCCTACCAACCCCTTCAAATTAGTATATAACCCCTACACAACCGACCCAGAGCGTTTTAACGTTTCAACAATCAACCGAAGCAGCAAACCACAACTTAAAACAGAAGAAAGCCTGAAGAACCCGGTTTAGGATATGCACCTTGCCGCTTCGTGGCGGGACTCTGCAAGCCTCGTGGGGTCATCTTTTCTCGGCTGAGTGCTGTGGGGGAGCCGTTGAAAATAGGGGGCCTGAGTAGTTAGGCACGGATCCTAAACCCTAAACCCTAAACCCCAGGATTCAGGGATAAGGCTTCCGGGTGGCACAATGTAGGGGCCCTATAATGATTAGAATAGGGTTTTGGCGGGGCTCCTTATTATAATTATCGTATAATTATACCCACAAACCCTCTTCTAATTATTGAGGCCCGTGCATTATTATCATCAACTTGTAGACTAAGGGAATAGCATTGCAAGCTCTTAAGACCCCTTGACTTCTTGGGCCCTCACAGGGAGTTCTTTAGGAAGTCAATCAGGCCCTTCAGCCGTTCTGGAACCCCTAAACCCTAAACCCTAAAACCTAAACCCTATGGAACCCCTATAGAACCCCTGCGGCCTCCCTTCTAGTACCCCCTAGCTTTCCCCTTGCGGTACTTGCAGGATCATGGGATTTAGCAAGTAAGGTTATAAGTACCCTAATTGGGGTTATAAGTAATTATAAGTCTAGTTACCTTATTTATAACCCTAGTTACTAAGTCCCATGAACCTCGAAGTAGCTTTCAGAATACCCAAACCAGCAGCCCGGCTCTTCGTTGCGCTCGACCTTGTCAGGTCCGTGCTCCGCATGATCCTGCAAAGGCCCCAACCCTCCTCACACCCTTGTTCTAACACCCCAAACCTCTAAGCCGAAGACCTTAGATACCCCAACATAGGGGCCTTGATAATTAGAATAGAGTTTGGGGTACATTATACTATAAATATAATAAGGAACCCCGAAAAACCGAAACCCCAACCAACAGACGTCGCAAGCACCCGAGGAGGAAGCCGATCCTCAGTGTAGGAGAGGGCCTCTGACAAAGCAGGTCCGAGGTTAGGGTTTAGGGTTTTGGTTTTAGGGTTTAGGGTTTAGGTTTTTTTTTGGGTGGTTTAGGGTTTGGGGTTTAGGGTTTAGGGTTTAAAGTCTTTTTAACGCTTCAAGAAGGAGTTTAGGGGCTCAGCTGTTCTAGACGGGCGCGATAGGGCTTGAAGAGTTTAAGGTTGTTCCTTAAGTTCACCTGTTTCGGCCCATTGGGGTTTCAGGCTCTCTAAGTGCGATGAGCCTAGTTCCGCACAGAGGACTAATACCGAAGCTGGGCGACTAGACAATATGTCGGCCACGTGCAGAATTAACGTTTGCCTGAATCCTAAAGAATCTACCTTCTTAGGGTTCCTGAGTATGGTTTCCTTATACAAGCCCATGAAAGCTTGGGTTTCTTGGGGGCTCAGGTACGGCTTGGAGTTTTGGCTTCAGAGTTTGGGCTTAACGGCTTGGGTTTAGGAATTATGGCTCATTGGCGTGAGGTTTTGGGGTTTAGGAGTTTGGGTTTAGGAGTTTGGGGTGTAGGGACCAGGGTTTAGGGGCTTAAGGGTTTTGGGATAAGGGTTTGTGACTTGTGCTTTCTCTGGCTCCTGAACGAACCTAGGCTATGGCTATGGACTATGCAACCTCAACGACAGCCACCGGCTCCCAAGACGCAACATGTCATCGTAGCTTGCCTATAACCTACATACAGAGCCCCGGATCGTTTCAGTGCATCCCACATATATATATATATATATATATATTAAAGCGCCTAAGAACACGACCCAAAACAGCTCCCTTGTAGCACATTGCGACCCCTTCCTGGGCCGCCCGGCACTCAAGGTCCTGAAGGCAGTGGGGCGCTTGATTCTTCAGCTCGGATTACCAGCTCATCTCGGGTTTTTTTTGCTTATGACAGGTCCTTGCAATAAGGGTCCTACTTCTAATCGAGCCGGGGATTTTAGGATCTGACCCTAGCCAAATGACCCAGCCTAAAACCCTATAGGGTTTGGGGCTTAGGCTGATTCTTCCTTCCAGCCCCGAAACCCCCCCAAACCCTAAACCCTAAACCCTAAACCCTAAACCCTAAACCCTAAACCCCCCCAAACCCTAAACCCTAAACCCTGAAAGCCCTGAGAGCCTCTAAAGCCTGAACTCTGAGCTGGGGAGTTAGGATTACGCGGACCCTTGGGCACATAGACCCTCTCAGTGAGGTCCGTCGAAGGAGAGCCACAAGTACTTGGAGGTTCGTGGGTTATAAGTCCCCTAGTATGGGTTTAAAAGTATAGTTACACTACTTCTAACCCCAGTTATAACTACCCATGAACCTCCAAGCAGGGTTCAGAAGGGTCCCCTTTAAGGGGTCTCCTTAATACTACCTAGCACAGCTCTCATGGTCAGAGCCTCGCTTCTGCCGAGCGCTCCTGTCTGGCGCTGTGCACCTCCAGGCATTGGCAAGGAGCTCGAAGGCTTCTTGCGGGGGGCCCAACTTCCTTTAAAGGAAACTACCGGTGGGGAGTTTAGGGTATATAGGGCTTCTATGAAGCTTCTATAGGGTATATAGACCTTCTGTAAGGCTCCTATGACGGTAACTACCCACCTGAAAATGTCCCAACTTCTTCAGAGTTCTGCGTTTAGGTGGGAGACTGTGGAAGGTTCAAAGGAGGTTTAGGGCATCACCTTGTAGCCCCACAAACCTCTGACCCTGCAACACCACAGCCCTATTTTCCCAAACCCTAAAGTTCTAGAGAGCCTCGTAGCATGGCCTTGACACGACTTCCTTGCTCGACTCAACCCTCAAGCAGCCCCAAAAACCGAGGCCCACTAGCACTCCTAGAAACCCTAAACCCTAAACCCTAAACCTCAAACCCAAAGCCCCCTGAAAACCCCCGCCTGAACCCAAAAACCCTGAAGACGTGAACGTGGTCCTCAGATCTTGGAGATCCAAGAAACCTTACACACCCCGGACCCTAAGAGTCCAAAACCTCCGAAGGAACACAAACTTAAGTTGTATAGGGCTTTCGGCACCATGATTCAAGATATGCTCCTCAATTAAGGAATCCAACTTACGTTATATGCGGCTTCGCACCATGATTTAAGATATGTTCCTCGATTGAGGAATCCAACTTACGTTATATGGGGCTTGGTATCATGGCTTAAGGTATGTTCCTCAAGTAAGGAATACTGCTTGAACTGTATCGGGCTGCGTATTCTGATTTGTTCCTTGGTTATGGCATGCGACGTAAATTGGATACGGGCTTCGTATTGTGATTGAAGAAGTGTTCCGTAATTGAGAAATACAGCTTAAACTAGATACGGATTCAAGACATGTCCTGTAATTAAGGAATACAGATACGGGCTTCTTATTATGGTTCAAGATATGTTCCGTGCTTTCAGAACCCAACTTAAATTAGATACAGGCTTCGTTATTCAGATTTACCATATGGGTGGTTGCCAAAATTATGGTCCCTTTTTGGGTCCTTATTATAATACGGCACCTATTATTTAGGGTAGCCAAAAAGGGACCCTAATTTTGACAACTACCCACATATTTCTTAAGGAACGGGCATCGGGCTCTCTGGGATGCAGGGCACCTCATCTACGAGTCGGTCGCAGGAGGCAGTCAGCTGCCAGAGCCTTCAACGTGGCCATGCGGAGCGCTTCAGGGTTTTGGGGCTTGGGGCCTTGGGGCTTAGGGCTTAGGGTTTAGGGTTTGGGTTTTAGGGTTTAGGGTTTGGGGCTTAGGGTTTAGGGTTTAGGGTTTAGGGTTTGGGGCTTAGGGTTTGGGGTTTAGGCTTACTGTTAGGGCTTTGGGTTTTTAGGTTTAGGGCTTGGGGCTGCATTTTTTGGAAGCCCTTTTCGTGACTCTTAGGGTTTCGGGTGTTAGGGTTTAGGGCTGGGGGCTGCTGCTGTTGTTGAAAGCCCCTTTTCGTTACTGTTGAGGTTTGGGGTTTCAAGGTTTAGGGCTGGGGGCTGCTGTTTTTGTTGAAAGCCCCTGTTCGTTACTGTTAAGGTTTTGGGTTTTAGGGTCTAAGTCGTATATTCAATTTCAAGCAGAAAACAAGGGCCTCAACAACAGGTATGCTGGGGTGGTGTACGGTTTCGGGCTTCATGGGTTTAGGAGCTGGGCCATTCTGTTCCGCTCGCGTAGGATGGTGGAGCAACACGATCAGAAGTAATCGAGGCTCCTGTGCTGAGAACCCCAATATAGATCCCAGTGGAATAGTAGGATCCTTCTTGTAAAGGGTGGTACTTAATGCTTTAGGAGCCTAAGACCCTGCTAAACCCTCCCCACAACAACCATTTCAGAACCCATGACCGACTCTTTGTAAATGTAAGAATCCCTGCGAAACAGACCCGCAGCATGTACGCAGAGGTCGAAGCTTGAGAATCGGGCCCCCCCCGCCTCTGTTTCAGCATTGCCTCCTCCGGGTCTTCCTGTCAGCTCAACCCAGAGCTTAATCTCACTAATCTCGATCTAATGCAAGGGATTGAACAATTAGAGTACGGTTTTGAAGTCCACTATACTGTACTTATATTAAGGAACCCCTTGAACACTAACATTAACCCGTAGTGGTAACTATTTAGGCCGCTACATTACGGTAAACCTGAGCGTTAGGCATTGAGGCTTGGAGCGCAAAACCCTAAACCCTAAACCCTAAACCCCTGAACCCTGAACCCTAAACCCCTAAACCCAAAAGAGCCTCCAACAGCTTACTGTAGGGGCCTTCATAACTAGAACAGGGTTTTGGGGGGGTTCCTTAGTATATTTATAGTAGAACGGGCCCCAAAACCCTATTCTAATTAGGAAGGTAGGGTTCTGGATCGAGTGAGCCCATGAGCGGGCCACAGTGCTAGAACCTCGGGTGCAGTAGCATCGTCCAGGAGCCATGGAAGGTGCCCAGGCTGACAAGCAGCTACAAGGGTCGCACACACCAGCGGGACAGGAGCATTCCACAGGACACGTTTCTCTTGTCGCAAGCAGTGGTTGACCAGGCGGTGGATGCACTGCTTGTTCATGATACTATCTCCCTTCGAGCCTTGCGCATGCTTCTGCAAGACATCACTGGGATTAGTCTGTCCTCTCGTAAGTTGGAGATCAGAGAGATGGCAGAGCTGGCAGTGTTGAGGTTGGAGCACAATGTTAGGCCAGAGAGCCGACTATGCTCTCCAAAACATGTGGGAGTTGAAACCCCACGCGGTATGAAGCTCTTCACCCAACCACATGATGAAATCAATGCGACTGCTGTTTGGCGCAGAGTTTGGGAGCCGTTTACCAATGTGGAATATACACAGGAGGTTCCTGCTGACATATGCTGCGATTGCCATGCTTGGAACGACCTGCATGATTGGCAGGTTGTGCCAACTGGTTCGATGCTTTGGCGTCTTGCAAGCTGCCAGGTTCAGGAAGCCTTACTGGGTTTGACTACACCTCAGTTGCCAAGAGGATGGATTTCGGAAGTGGCGGTACGGCTCGAGATTGCTCCATCAGCCTGGCCATCAGTTTCTGTCAAGGAAATGGTGTTGATGAGCGCAACAAGCCCATCGACTTCTGCCTGCTGTCTTCGTTCCTCAACCACTTGGTTTATGCCCTGTTCGTGGTCTTCTGGAACCCTGGCGGATTGTGGCATCCTGCAGGCTGGCCGATGGCAACGCGGGGAACCTCAAACGCAGCCGTCGAGCGCAGCAGCGCCAACTGTGAGGGCAAGCTTCACAGACGCTGCTCCGGAATGCAGCTAAGTTTTGTGCTATGACGCGTCTGATGTGGACATTTTTTGTCTCTGTCGTTCGGGCGCATGAGCTTCCACATTTGGTTTGTGTTGTGATGCGCACTTGAAAGTACAGCTTTTGGGCTCCGGGCTCGCTGGTTTCGATTTCAGTGCTTCCACAGCCTCTCCCACTGCTTGCCTCCCGGTGCGGTGGCTCAGTGTCAGCAGAATTTCTGCTCCAGGGCTAGGTGTTTCATGCTGAAAGCATGGGTCCCCCGGAGTGCACACTGCTCCAGCCACCAAGGTTTAGGGTTTAGGGTTTAGGGTTTAGGGTTTAGGGTTTAGGGTTTAGGGTTTAGGGTGCCTTTGAATTCGTTTAGCAATGGACACGTCCCTCGGACTTTACGCCCAGCGCAGAAGAAGAAGGCCCCTATATTAGGGCTGGGGTTCATCGTATCCCAGCCGACCGGGAGCGACGCTTGGGGTATTGAGGGATTCGGGCTCAGGCCTTGGGGCTTAGGATGTCAGAAACCCTAAGCCCTAAACCCTAAGCCCTAAACCCGTAAACCCTAAACCCCTAAGCCCTAAACCCCTAAACCCCAAACCTTAAACCCTAAACCCTAAACCCCTACACCCTAAACCCCAGGTCGTCTCTCTTTTTGAACGCTTTGACCCTTGAGACTGAAACCAAAGCGGGCCCGGAGAACCTGGACAGGCGACACCGTCGCTTCTGCAGCTGCCTGCGCCTCTTTCCGCTCGCAGTGCATGCGAAGGAGCTTAAAAGGGATGAGGGCCCTATTTAAATTATTAAGGCCCCTATATGAAGGATAATTATAGTATAATGGGCCCCAAACCCTATTCTGATTATGAGAGGGCTGAAGGTTCGGGGTACCGGGCTTAGCGCGTTGAAGGTGGAGGGTTTAGGGTTCAGGGTGCAGGGTTGAGGGTGTTTGGGTGTATGCTTTAGGTTGAAAGTTTAAGGTGCCGGGTATAGGGTTTAGCTTGTTCAGCGCCAGTTCCCTCTTCAGCGATGTGGCTATACTTAAAGTGGGGTCCAAGGGCAACGTGGTCTTGGGTAAATTCCGCGAAAGTATCGTTTACACACAGCTTCTAGCCAGTATGGGAACTGCAGACCACATCTCTTACGTGGGCTATATAAGGATTCTATCCTTATATGCACTACCGAGGACCACTGAACGCGATATATTTGTTCCGGGTTCGGTGAAGACTTCTCACATCATACGTTGTGCAGGTCTTCGCTGGCGGGTTTGGGCTGTTTGGCCTTGTTCCAGACTTCCTGGTTGGCTCCTGCGGAGTAGTAGGAGGCCTTGATAACCCACCGTTCTTCTAAGGAACCCATAACACAAGGCGTCTGTCCTTTTAGTCCCTGTGTGGCCAGGGCCGTCTGTCCAAACGATGCAATCCCCCAGTGAAGGAGGGCTAGGCATTCAAGGCTTACGGGTTTAGGGTTTAGGGGTTAGGGCTTAGGGTTTAGCGCTTAGGGTTTAGGGCTTAGGCTTTACGGTCTAGGGCTTAGGGTATAGGGTTTGTGGTTTAGGGAGGTTTTGTGAAGAGCTTGAACGGTGAATTGTAGCTGTCTCTCTAGGATAGCCCCTGTCGGATTCCTATAAAGACCTTCCTTGAGCCCGGGTAGAACCCTTAATACAGAACCCTCTGTGCTCCTGTAATACTTTCTGCTAGTACCTGCCAGTACTTGGAGGATCATGGGACTTAGTAAGCAAGGTTATAAGTCGCCTAATTGGGGTTATAAGTATAGTTATGTTAATTACCTACTAAGTCCCATGATCCCCCAAGTACCATGGAACATTTTGTACCCCCAAGCCCCAGCTGAGAGTCTTTCGAACCTCATTCTGCTGTGCACTGAGCGCGGCGGCCTCGTACTCCTCGCGCACGCACTAGCTGGGAGTTCGGCTTAGGGCTTACGACCTAGACTTGTTCATCAAAGTGCGTAAATCTCGGAAAGCCTTAAAGCCGAAGAGGCCCCAAACGTCCAGAAGTCGAAATCAATAGGTGGACTGGGAGAACTTGAACGACACAACCAGATATCCGCACACGCATAAATGTACATGGAAATATAATTAGATAAATACCAAAACATCTCCATACCATGCCTACACTGAACCAAAGGCTGAAGAACATCAGATTGAAGCCTTTTAGGGTTTAGGGTTTAGGGTTAAGGCTTGAGCGCCCTGAAGGTTTAAGCGCCTTGAATGAGGATGTTCAGTCGCATTCACTTCTGCCAGAAGTGGCTAAACAAAAACCCGCCTAAACAATGGAATCACCAGAATGACTCGAACAAATACTGTTTAAACGCCAGATCTACAAAGTATGGCTGAGCGCATTTATGTTTAATAATTAAACACATCTTAGAGACATATAACACATGTATACGTGTAAATCTATACAGCGAAAGATAGGTAAAGACATACGCTCAAGCTTCTTTTCTTTGGACCATCGTCGATGTCAAGTAGCAACCTTCTTTGAGCACTAAATCCCGGTTTTCGGGGCAATGCGGGGGTTGCCGTGCAGGCGCAGGACGACACCCAGAAGCAAAATAGGCAGCACGTTCGCCGCTGTCGACGGGCTAGGAGCTCATGGGCATGACTTGCAGTTCAACTGTCATAGAAGAACAAAGCGCATTAAGCAGCAACGTGCGCTGCGACGGGAAAGCACGACGGCAGTTGGGGAAGGGGGGGCGAGCAGCGCCGGGTATGCCCGAGTAGTGCCGGGTATGTACTCGTGCATACTCGGAGTGCAGTCTCTCATCACGGCCGCAGTGGCAATGTGTGCATGAATATAACTAACCAAGTTCCTTCCCCCATCTGTGCTGGTGCATGCTTGCCTGCATACATACGTACAGACATACCTACATACCTACATATATACATCCATTCACCCATACATACATACCTATGTACGTACGTACGTACGTACATACGTACGTATGTACGTAGGTACATACATGCATGCAGACATGCAGACGCATACTTAAATTGGACAAGGAGTAATGCACATATATGTGCGTATGTCTACATATGTACATAAACCGGCATATTTTTGTCTATGTGCACGTAGTACGTATGTATGCATACACATCTATAGCTTTCAGTATCCAGGTCTGCTTCGTTTATTTTTTCACGGTCTTTGCGTCCTCAGCCTGCGCCAGCACACCATACAGCACAGCCTCACGGGATCGGACCTGCGACAGAAAGCGCGAGGATCATCTGGTATCAGTTTACTAATGATGTAGCCCCACACCTGGTTCTATCCATTGAGGCCCCAATAGTCCATGTTCTGGTAAAAGGCACTGAAAGGACACAAGCCGGCAAAGAATGGGTGTTCGTCACCGGCATCTGAAGCGTGGCTTCCGGAGGCTACCACTCACTGAGCCACTTAAGAGCCTGCCCAGCCGTGCTGCTGATCATGGCTTGCAGAGCCTGCCGGAGTAGCGAAACACGAAATATAGAGGCCTTAGTCATTGGAATCGTGTTTTGGGGACATTCGAATAGAACTGTACAAAGGAGCCCTAAGCAAAAATGGCAGCAATTCTTCAGACCCCTATAAATTAAGCATGCACACATGAAGCCCTTGAGGGAATCAATGGATGCAACCCAGAATCGGTTTATCCGGGTGCAAACGAGGGGCTCTCCGATCTTGAACCCAACACAAAGGTGAGCATCAGGGGTTTGAGGGCTCTAGGGCCCTAGGGCTGCGGGTTTAGGTTTGGGGGCTTGGGGCTTGGGTTTAAGGCTTCAGGGGTTTAGGGTTGAGGGTTTAGGGTTTAGGGTCGCTTACAGCAGAAACTCGAACTCGCGCCTTCAAGTGCGCTTGGGTCATGTGCTGCTGCGCCTGCAATCGGGGCTGGCTTCCAAGAGAGCACAGTGCCCCTTAAAACCCTAAACCTTTAAACCCTAAACCCTAAACCCTAAACCCTCTTAGTTCAGGAATGGACATACTCTACACCAAATTTTGAGAATTCTTAGTATGAGTTGAGCTACGTTTTTTGATTAAGGGGTATGGGGGCCGCAAAAAACCTTAAAAAAAAACAAAAAAAAGAAACACAGACTCGGCAATTGGAAGGGCCTGCATTGCAGCGGCCTCCTGGGTGGTCACCCGAATCCGTGATGCCCACTCGGCCATCCTGGTGGGTCCCCAATTTATAGAGGGGCATAGTTAGAATAGGGTTTTGGGGGGTTCCCTTTACAGGGTTCCTTAAAGTTTAAAGGGTCCTAGAAGGGCTACTATAGGGACTTCGGGTTTAGGGGCCTTGGTAATTAGAATAGGGTTTTGGGGCCCATTATACTATAAGTATAATAAAAAGGAACCCCCACAATAGTATTGGTAATTATCTAGGCTCCTACATTAGGAACGCAGGTCATGACAGAAACAACGACAAGTATACAACAATAAAGAGAAGGCTGGTGGATATGATGATCACAGTGGTAGGAACAAGTGCCAGAACAGTGACAACGACCATGGCGTTGATGAGACCAACAGTGAAACTACAAGTAATATTCGCAGTCGTCGTCGTCTCCTCCTCCTCCGCCCCCTCGTACATAAATGTCGTCGTGAATGTCACCGTGGTCGTCGGCAGCGGCCGCAGCACTGCTGTTGCTGTTTCTGTTGCTACTGTTGCTGCCGCTGCTGCCGCTGGTGTTGCTGTTGTCGTTGGTGCTGACGGTTGCAATGGCGGTGATGGTGGTCGTCTTCCTTGTTCGCGACCGCATGCGGTGTAAGATTCACGGTTCAAGAGAGGAATCTTACATTGATTCTGCGCTTGACATGAGACTTGAGGAGGGACCAACAGGTGCAGCAGTGATCATGACGGCAACCATACCGATAGCCATGCTAAAATGAAAATTTTAAGGCTCCGGGTCTTGGGTACAAGTCCAGGGTATAACCAGGGTCATGCCTGGGCTTGGGAATGCTGCGGGTTGAGAAAATCCCTACAGGAATCTCACCCTTGCGGCTGCACATGTCGTAACTATAAATCCGGTAATTGCTAAGTTAATCAGTAGGACATTGCCTGTCTTCGTACCGGTACTCCTAGTACAACAGTAGAGTGATCACCAGTCTTTTCAGTCCCATCGGTATTCCAAACGCAACAAGCCACCCTAGGTCTCCGAAACCACCAAACCCTGAAATCTATCTTGCCGGCCTCTCTTGGCCGGTCTCGAAATCCTCTGCCTGCAGACAGACCGATTGCGTCCGGACTCCTAAAACCTCCAGAGCTTGAGAGGATCTCTTTTGTGTGAAGAAGGATGCCTCGACGAGATTTGTTGGGGGCGTTTATCTGAAGGTATACTGAATCGACAAAAGCAGGAATACGTAGCCGAGGTCTGCGGGTGCCTTTTGCAAAAATAATACCACCGTCTCTGGCAGCCGGCCAACGGGAATTCTTCAAATACAGGTCCTACTCAAAACCTGAACGCCAACATTCTGACAACCTGAATCCCAAACGCTGGATTTGTGAGCCTCCCACTCCGCCACTGGTTTTACGATGGGTGCCGGCTGTCCTTTTTCCATGTTTACTACTGTAGTTACATTTGCTGCGAATTGCAAACAACAGGTTCCCAAGAGGATTGCACAACGCACCAAACCACAGCAACAACACAGTGACGTGAACCGGTTGCCATCTGCTCCTTGTCTGATGTGCAACTGCTTAGGCTTTCTCGCTCGAGATACGCGTTGGGAACCAAACCGACTCCGGCCACTCCGTAAACAACGCTGAACTTTGAGCCCTAAACCTTTAAACCCTCAGCTCGGAACCCCAAACCCGGAACCCCAAACCGTAAGCCCCGTCCCCCCCATGGCGCCGTGGCCGCGGCGCGGGCGGCCCGGAGAGCTCCGAGCTCTGCCTCAAGGCGCAAAGGGTTTGGGTTCAGGGCTGAGGGCTGAGGGCTGAGGGCTTAGGGTTTAGGGTTTAGGGTTTAGGGTTTAGGGTTTAGGGTTTAGGGTTTAGGGTTTAGGGCTTGGGTTCAGGGCTGAGGGCTTAGAGCAAAAATGCTTTGCTTCCTTTTGGCAGCTCTACCAAAAAAGCGACCTCATTCCACCGCAAACCACACAGCTGACCCCTAAACCCTTAACCCCTAAACCCTAAACCCCTGAGATGGCTTGGTGTCGGCTTGTGGGTCCTGCGGCCTGTGCCGGCCGCTCAACGAGAACGAAGGGTTTCCAACAAACTTGGCACCCAATCCCTTAAACATCGTCTACTCTACGTAAACCCTCAATCATCCAAGCCCAAAACCCCTAAACCCTAA